CAACAAATTGTGATGAGCCTATTTCAAAGTCCAATATCCTCATTAAATCTACTATCAACTAGTCATTTAGTTGCTGACTTAGTTTCTTTCTACAAGTGACTCATAAATATTTCATGATTGTAACAGTTTCAAAAATGTCAAAGAAAATTTAGAAATATCTAGGAGATTTTACATTGGTCAAAAGTATACTACTAACTAAAGGAATTAAGGAGTATAAGTTTGGTTGAAAGCGTTTTAATTTTTTCAATATTTACCGATTGACTTAAGTGTATAAGTCAGATTTTAGACAGCTAACTGAATTAGATTGAGAACACGAACGTACTTGTTCGAATAATAAACTTCGTTCATAGGAAGGATACATAGAGTGGTCTGTGTCTGAATTTCAACAGCTTCTGTTCAGTCAGGTATGAACAAGCACTTGGTAAAACAGCGTTCAATACACCATTTGGTAAGCTGACAGATGAAGCAGCTAAAATCGGGAAAGAAATATGTGAAGGAAAATAAAATCTGGAGCGATTCATAAATTTATTATGTAGACCAGAATATGATAAGCCTGCGAAAATGACGTCACGGTAGTCTTAAGTCATTTTGATTTCACATGTGAAGACATTGGGGAAAAATAAAGAGAATAGTCAGTAAAAGTATCCCGTATCTAGGTGAATCTCTGTATTTCAAGCAGCTGGTTAACTGGTGTAGTCAAAAGAACGATAGGCACACCTATTGTGCGAGTTCCAGTTGAGCACACTAATTTATATCTATCTCTCTATCGACAGGTAATACGTTGACGTGGTTGTCAGGCTTGTATACTATAGTGATCCAATGGGTTATACTGAGTGTAACGCTTGTTCTCTTGCTTCCTTTTGTACTAGAAAGGTCTAATGGATATTGGTTAAACGAAAAAGAGTTACGGCTACAGTGTAAGTTTTTACGCTATGATAGGAGTCCCAGAGTGAAATCGTACTGCAGGCCAGAAGTGGATGTAACATCAGTAAGGTGTTTCCACAGATGTCCAGCAGTACCATAGGAAGAAATAGCCGGGAAGTTCAACCGTAAACACAGCATATGTACCCTTACCACAAAGCGTATCTGTGTAGGGGATATGGTTTCATAATCAGATTCGAAAAAACAAACTGGCATCTCAAACTGCCAAAAAACTTGGCATGCTACCGATCTTGGGCACATGTTCATTGGGCTTTACAATAACGCAATAACCTTTTTCCGAGTTAATTTAAGAAAAACTGGTATTTCGCTGAGCGGGCAGCCAAAATGTGTCAACCACCCTCACAACTTTGTTCATATTCAAGTTTCTTGGTCAACATCCCTGCATCATCTTTCACTTTTTCTGGCTCTATAATTCTTGGCAACTATCATAGTTCATGGAACGGCATTACTGGGCTCCTGAAAGACCACTCCAGGCTGCATATTGGGGCCTTCAGTATTCGCACTCTCCATGCAAAATTCTGGCATCTTGGATCACTAATGTGAGTTGTGTTTGAGATACACTCAACCTCAACCGAACAATATAATGAACCTGCAGAATTCATCTTGACAGTTACTGGAGATACGGTGGTTAGTTTTTACAGTCTTACAGGTACAGTCCCACAAGTGCTCAGCTAGAAAGTGCACAATTCGGCTAGATTGCAGTTGACACTCTACAACGGGTTGTTTGACTTAGGTACATAGTGAGCACTGAAAGAGCAGTTAAGTTCATTTTTATCCCCGACAGCATGCCAAATGACCAGGAAAGCTCGACCGGGTGCCTTCAGCCTAACTGGTCCGATAAAAACTATCGAGGTCAGCATCAATGTTGAATCTCACCGAACCCGAGCTACTGATTCTGGGGAATCGTGTGACTCTACGGTCACTTAAAACAGTCGATTGAAGTTTTTTCACTTCCGCCAATGCGGATATAGTCTTTCTGCATCCTTTGAAGTAGTCGCGCATAGTGATACTGCATTAAGCGACCGCGGTAGATCAGTCGATGCACAGAAGCTTGGCGCTAACAAGCCAAGTGTGACACAACGGGACAAGCTGACATGCTGCATGAGAGAATCAATAACTGATGAGTAAGAATACTACGATAAACCAAGAGATTGTTAGAGCTGCGCTCAAATTACTGATGCTAAATTTGTGACGTCCACATTGATGACACTGAAAAAGTAACATTCATACAAAGGCCAGAAAGTAAGCACGTGTCGTCAGCGAAATCAATTCATCAAACTAGCTCCCTGGTTAGTGTTTCGTCTCACTGTTCATCGCACTACTTTCTAACAGACGATGATCCTTTGGCGGAAGATATCTGTGTCCAACACCCCCTAGGTTAAATCGACCACGCCTTGGTGAGATTGCCTTCGACAACCAAGGTGACACTACCAATAGTTGAGCCAGTAGAGTTCCGCTGTGACAGAAAGGCAGCCTACCGTCCCGCGAACAACAAATTTCTGGGGGCTGCGTGGCCACAAGGATGGCACTAACTGTTGATAGACGAACGCCGGATGTATATTAAGGATATTATCTGGAGCTCCATCTATAAGTGTTCTGAAATTAACCAGACGGCCACCCCTCAAACGGTGTTGGGTGACCGGCATGACCCAAAGGCAAATGCAGGGGAAAAGGAAGGTAAGGTGTCGGCGACGTACATCAAACAAAGAATCATTGTGTCATAGCTACAAGAGGCTGCTCAGCTTATGTAATCCAAGAATTTGTGATGAATGATATACACACCAGGGCAACCTGGCTAAACAGCCAAGTCACAGTCCGAAAAGTCCGTATCGGTTTGTGTCACAACGCAAACCGACAAATAAAGGTTTAAACCTGATCACAGGGTCGGCCGGAGAGGTTTCAAGCAGCAGTAAGTTGGTGAAACCGTTAAGTAGTCGACCTGACGAGGAACTCAACCGAGTAATACGTCCTCTATCCACATCTAGTAATTTAACGAAGTCCTAGGACTTCGATACGAAGCCGGAGAACGTAAACATCTCGTCAGACCAAGCGTTTGAGAAGCTTCCAACACCGAGAATAGGGAAATAACCGGGCTGTGACGGCATAAGACTGGCGGTCCCACGCAAATGTACCGAAGTGCCAGGCTTATGGGTATTCAACCTGTTCACGCACTCGTTGGAGGTAGGTCAAATCTCCAAGAAGTGGAAGCGTGCAATCCTTTCGCCAAGGAGACCAAAAAACCCGTGCAACTGCAGACCAATAGGAGAACTGCCCCTATTTCCAAAGATACTGGAAAGCCTGATTGCAGGTGCTGTTTGGGACTACTGAAAAGAAACAGCATCGTCCATTCCATCCAGCAGGGGTTCAGAACCGGGCGGTCATGCGCCACAGAATTTATGACAGCTTGGCATGACTGGAACACTAGATGAGACAACAAGCAACCAATTAACGTTATATTCGTGGACTTGGCCAAGGCTTTCTATAGCGTCCCACACTGCACCACGCTCGCCAAGCCCTCAAAGGTGGGTGTCATCGAATCACTCTTAGCATGGCTTACAGCACACCCAAAGGACAGCGAATTCTGCACTAAAGTAAACAGAAGTCGATCAACCTGGAGGACCGCAGGAACAAGAGTTTCTTTGGGAGCTATCCTTGGGCCACTCCGATTTTTACTATTCATAACTGATCTCCTCATCAAAATATCTTCATCTATCCTCTTTTCGCCTTCGTCAAGATATGGAGGAAGATAGGCGGAGAACAGGATCCCAGGATACCCCAAAACGGCCTGTTGCAGCTGGAGTCCTGGTCAGGTGCAAACGGTTTAAGCTCTAACCTTGGGAAATGTAGGGTGGTCAATCTTCCTACACCAGGGGCGATAAAAGTCAGCTGCACTTTAAACAGGTATGCAGTCACCAAGGTATCCACAGAGAAGGGCCCAGGAACAAACTTTTCTGACACACTGGATACTACTAGTATTTGTGAGGGAGTAGCGGCAAAGACGAAAGCCTTTACGCACTTTCTAAGAAAGCGGCTTGGATTGTTAACCTCGCAATTATTTCTTGTAGTATTTAAAGCCTGTTAGACCACACCTAGAGGTGTTCAACGCAATCCCCCCCCAGTAGTAAAGCGAGACGCAAACACTCTCAAGGAATCTCAGAGAAGAGCGACAGAACGGCTGCCAGACTAACAAGTCAAACATATGCAAAACGCCTCAGACAACTCGACTTGTTCACATGAGGCTATGGAAGGAAACGAGGTGACCTGATGGCAGCCTACAAGGTCATTCACTAAGTGGACCACCAAATGGGCCCAAAACCGACAATCCTGCGGGAACCACACTCGTATACCCCACCACAAGGCAAAGAAAAGAGTGAGATCTAACTTTTTCTCCCACAGAGTATGTGCCTTATGGAACGCTCCACCGAAGGAAGTGGCCAGAGCTACACCAGTCGACTCCTTCAAACTACTACTGGATGAGTATGTAAGCGAAAACGGCCTACCACGAACATCTGTCAGTAGTAATCAGTAGGAACTAATGATACCCCTTCTTGTCCCTGTATTCCCCAACCCCAGCGCCTGCAACAAGACGCATCTAGCCCCCATATCATTACCAGTTTCGTCTATCCTTTCATAAGCACTTTTCACACTTCTTTTTCACATTCCCACTCACCCTTTTTCTGTTACTTTTAAGTGACGCTCAACATGTGCTCGCAGGGTCCTACAACAACAGGACTTGCAAACGGTTGATTGATCTTATCAGCAGCTCCGCTACCCCCTCCCCAAGACAAACCAAGCTACAATTTGCAAATCAAATACCGTCAAATAGACAATCACTACTCCCATAGCCATAAGCAGAAGGACGTAAAGACTTCTGTAATCATTAAAGGAGTACAATCTAATAGAAGAACTCGGCCTCGAGACCTAGAAGCAAGAGCTCAAAAACCACAAGTTTCCTGTGCTCGAACTAATGATGTTGGATGTTGGACGTTGGATCGCAGTTGAATATGTATGTATGTTACTGCGCAGTCCGTTCACGTTTGTTTGATGACAATTTTTAGATGCTTTTATTGTTTTCATTGGTTATCCTTGTGAGCGAAATGAAATTCACACTTGCAAACATACCCAATTTTGTCGAATTATATAGTTCATCTGAATGGAAAAACCTGTATTTCTGCAATTATTTTTCAAAGAATTTGTATTCTAACACCCATCATAAAAAGGCTTTTCAGGAAATAACTGGGTATGCATTGCTTCTAAAGTTGTATGGTAGTGTTAATGGTAATATCAGTTTCAGATTTTGATCCTTTCCTAATTAGAAATTCCAGTGAATGTTATACAGTTCAACAAACATCTTTTATCGGAATACATGGATCAGGATGGCCTTATTGATACAGAAATTTATGTATATGCACTGATATTTTATAATGATCTTGAAAAGCTGTACAAAATAGTGCCAGAAAAGATATCTTTCGAAGTAGTTGATCGTTACATACAGAGTCTTATGATTTCTATTCTAACTTATGAAGCAGCAAATGGAAAGATCGCTTACTCAGCTGACAGCCTGAGAAGATGTTTTCAAAAGAATGAGCTTGTTGCACACTCAGTTAATATATTTGGAGACCTATCTTTCAAGTGGTTCAAAGTTTTTAGCCGAGGTATATTGCACCATCTTAATCTCCACAGAATGTTACAGGTAAGTTGTTACTTGTGGATTAACTCTAAGTCTTTTTATTCACCAACAATTACTAGATATGATGAGACACTGACACGAAATTATAAATAGTGTTTGTTGATGCCGTAAGTGACTGAAATCTTTAGATAAGATTCTTTGATAGTTGTCGCCTTCCTAATTATCTCGAATACTTCCAAACTACCTGCACCAAACTGTTAAAAAGGGAGATAATGCAAACCATAAGGATTGGTGCTCGATTGGAAATAAACCAACAAGTCCGAAACTATCAGGAGGCAGATACTGATCTACCTAAGGACAATTAAGTTATTGTCTTTGAATGGACTAACCGAAGAACTTATTTTGACATCAGTTATGTTTTCAGCCTCCTAAACTGTATGTTCTACAGTGTTGTTTTCTGACGGCAGATCAGATGTTCAGCTGAAAAGAAAAAGACCGCGTTAGAAAACTTCACTGTGCCATCAATAGCATTTTACAAGGGATTATGGCAATTCATCAGAAGATATATATGCTAAGCTTATGAGGAACTGTTGTCTTTTTTTGTTGATTGAAGTTAGATAAAACCACTTTGAAAATAATGCTCATTTGTTCTACGTTTATTTTCTAGCCAAAAACAATAACTGTATTTGTTCCATAGCATCAAGATTTTCTACAATTTATGACGTTTTACATTGTTCTACCGTAAAATTTTAGTTAACATTGACTATCCTGCAGTCAGGACCCAGTGAATCGTGCCGAGAAAGCATGCATCAGCTTAGTTTAGGTTGTCTAAATGGAAATGGTTGTTTGGAATCAGTGCCCAAGCAAAAATGTCTACCTCCATGTAACAGTTACTGTAAAAATATTATTCGCGGATGTCTAGCCCCATCTATTTTGTACGCCTCCAATCAAATTATTCAACTTGATAAGAAATTAATATGGAACTATAAAGGACCCGTAAACTTTGATGATTTAGAAGCCTCACTAAACGCTACAAATGTGTACCAACTTTTGAAAGAAGGACTTGACGTAGTAAAAGAAAACGCCATTTCAATAAAAAGAAAGGTAAGTTAATTAAACATCTACGTAATTTATATATTTCAAAGTTTAATTATCCTGTAAATTCATGCACTTTTGTTGGTAATACTGTCTCCTGTAAATGACCCAAAATCAGCACTGGCACTTAATTTGTAGCAGTTAAAGTTGACACGGTCTACAGCAGCATTTAAACTCACAAAGAAGTGCAACAAAAGATAATAGACAAGGAAGAAAAGCAATTTCGTAAAAATCCTTATGAAGGAGGAACGAAAAATTAAAGTGACGATAAAACTTAACATATTGGTCAAGATAACTATGATTTCCGACTGTACTGAAACCCTCCATTTAAAATTTTCATGAAAGATCACTTTGTGTAGTCGCTTTGTGTATCACAAAAATACTACTAGAGGTCAAAAACTGACTCTGTTGCTCCTACTATCATCCAATTTGGTTCTGGCTACATACCCTGTATATTGCAGCCAGATAGTATAAACCCATGGCCTAGTTTCAGCATAGTTTTCGTTGCAGCAGACTTAAAAAAAGAAGAGGATGTAATTTTGACTTAAACGCTACATAAAGGCGTATATTCCAAAAAAGCTACCGTCATTAAACTATACATGGTCTTTCATCCGAACCAAGATTTCACTCATGTGTGGAATAACCTTGTTCTATGGCTGTTTTACAGTAGATCCGTGGAGTCTTGCCACATAAAACACCCGTCAAAATAAAGCTGAAAAACATTACATTTACCTTAGTGGTTAGAAGACCCCTCACTGATCCTGATGTACAACCCGCTTTGCTAGCCAATGACTTATGAAAACGATCGGTTATTTTCATCCTTATGAAGTTGCTATATATTGAATGACAAGCTATTTAGGGATTTCTGAGTTTTGTAAACTTTTTAATCTATTTGAGCTCCTGATATTAAATAAGCGCTAATGACTTAATAAATGGAGAAGCGAAAAGAGTATCCTCCCATATAAAATGATGATCGGTTGCAAAATTAAGTTTCATTGTCATGCATAAATGAGATGAAGTCTTCCTCACTTAGGAAAAAATTATTCATCAAGAAGGCAACAGACATATCGAGTAGTTGTTTATTAGTTCCTTTTGGAATAAACTGTCTATAACATTACGCAATAATTTTTAAGCATCACATGTAATGTTAAAGTGGTCAAAAGTGGCTAGTTCTTGCTACATGGGTCACTGAACTTAGAAATAAGTACAGAAAGAGTTTCAATGTTTATAAAACAAAACGCCCTTCACCAAAATCAGAACCTTTTATTTAAAAGTTAAAATGAACAAATTATTGTATTATTCCATTAACATAATGAAGAATGACAATTTTTGAGATTCACAGTAATTTTCATGTATTTTTGGTATTTATTGCTTTGAGATCGCATACCTGTTTTATTCATTGCAACGGCTAGTGAAGTCTTTTCAGTGGTAACGTGAATTAAATTGACAGTCAGACGTTTATTTCTGGTACGGAAATCAACTGATCTGATTCAAAAATCTAGCCTCTTCCCTAGTTTCAGTGATGAGAATGTCTCCGACCTATAGAACAAGCCGTTTTACAACTGATGCACAAACAGCAAAAGCTACTCATTTTTTGTTTTCAAAGTTGGCGAAAGTCGATAATCCATTTGGGCAATAAAGATTTATGAATTCCTGAATAGTCAGTAGTGGAAGTGAATACACCAAATATTTAGGAAAATTTACTTACTTGTTTCGTAATTTTACTTTTCAGCTGGAGCAGTTCTGTGGAAAAGGCAGATTTCACCCACTACAAAATATACCAGCTTATGCCAAGAATGCTTCCCAAAGTAAATCTACACCATATTCTGTGAATACTGTGTATGAAATGAAGTTCAATGAAGAATACAACAAGCTGAAGAGATTTATAAAAGAAACTGAAAAGGATTTGAATTCTCTTCTTTATGGGATGAATGATCTAAAACAGTATATGAATAGTATTGAGTCACTTTATTGTCCTGAAGAAAACGCAAACAAGTGTTGGAACGGATCGTCGTTTGATACGTAAGTGGATTATAAGTCCAGATGACATGAACTATTTGAATCTTCTCTATCGATCCAGGATGAAAATTTGTGACTTCCATTCTGTTCACATACCTTCCGGTACATGATCATTAAGAATAATGACTCCTAGTCTAATTATTCGGAATACATCATACAATAGTAAACCCATCGTATTGGTATATATCTTTCTAAACTAGCACTTCATTTATTCATACCGATGTTGACCTCAAAAGAGAGAGAGAGGAACAAAGATAATCGCCAAAATTGTTGATGCGAAACATTGATATATTTATACAACTATATTACTGCTGAATTTTTAAGTTGTATATGCCATAACACGTAGATATCGCTAAACTTATACAAGTATTAATTTTCGGCGAGCAGAATATTTAATCTATCAATGACTTCAGATAACATTTCTACTAATAATATCATAGCACAACAAAATCCAAACTGGTTATTTCATACACATTAAATTAAATGTGGCCAATAAATGAAAAATAAATTTTATAAATATGTGCATGATCTCATGAGGACCTTGTACAAGTTAGTAGTTACTTCTGTAATGAGAACAAATATGACAGTTACTGTAACTTTTTATCTTGCCTGTGAATCGCAGCTACAGGTCATGTGGTCATAGTTTACTCTATGGTAAATTATTGTTGGAAGCAAACTTCTGAAATTCACTCATCTCAGTTTTAAATGAACAATTAGTTCATTATTATTATGAGTATTTATTGGTAAAGTTGGTTAAAATCATCATTATTGAGATATACGTGAAATCACGTCACATTTCAGGAATTATATCACTATTTGAGGTAACACATTCTACAGTGCCTCAGTTTTTTCATATTTTTTAACTGAGGTTCCCTAAATAGATGACGCAGTGCATAGGCCGTTAACTGTATTTTCACTTATTAGTAGGCTTGTGAAGTATACAGTAAAAGAGTTATGATTCGGTGTAAGCATTCTTACATGTATTTCGGTTAATACTCATCGTGATCAGCTTTCACTTAGAATGACTTGTAAGACATAGCTGTAAGAGATACGATTACAGGTCACTTAAATGAAACAAGTGTTCTGGTAATTTCATGATGACAATCAACAATAAGAACACAGGGACTTTGTAAACTCTTAAACACTCCTATTAACTGAATACCACTGTCTAAATACAAGGTATGTTAAAACAAAGGAAATATTCCAGTTAAAAAAAGGGCTAGTAAATAAGAAGCGTAACTACTGATGAAATAAAACACAAGTTGACAGAAGTGATTACTCAAAACAAAAAAGGTGGTCAACTGTTTAAGAATTCACCAAAGCCTACAAAGACAATACATCTTCGTCAATAAGTCTTTTAAAAGGGGAAACCAGTGAGACTTGAGTACAAGAAAGCTAACACATTACAGTAATTCAGTTTCACATTTTATCAGGGCTTTTAAAACAAAGACTGAGGTTTTCTCTATGTAGTGCTAAAACTAGACATTCCATTATATCACAATTTTCTTGGCTTTTATTTGTCTCATTTCTCTTCCAACGACAGAACCAGGCGAAATTATTCTAAATGAATTCCGTGTAGAAGAACACACTGGTTAGTCTAAACAGATTGCCACGTAAATGTCTTTTCATATTTGTAAGTATCTTAAAAGCATATATAGACCACTATTGTGGTCTTTTTTGGTCCTCAGATACTTCTTTGACTCTTTGCAACTGCTCTTTTTGACTTACAGTGTTAGGCATATGCGACAGATCTACTGTGGGGAAGTTTAAACAGTAGTCCCGGTTATCTTGTTAGTCGCTGTAACTGCAGATCTTTTTCGAGTTTTATTTCTGTTTCTGTCTCCTTTAGGCATTACTATCAATGGTATAGATCTTCTTGGGTTTACACTTGTATCAAAATCGGCTTAGCTTTAGTGAATCTAATACTAACAGGGGTTTTATAATTTCTACTACGCCGTCTCGAAAAGAGAATGTTTTTCTTTTTCTACCATTTGTCTTTCTATCTACCAGCTTTACTCTATGTGGCATTAGCCATAAAGTCCGTTCTTGTACTTTATCAATGTTGAATAAGACTTATATTGCGATAGCTGTCAATCAATTATGCATGCAAGCACGAGGTCTGGAAGAAAATATCCGGAAGCTTGGTACTGAAATTGAACAGTACTTAATAAGTATGGAAATGTAGACTCCATCCGTAATTTAGGTCACCCATCGTCCATCTGAAAATTGATGGAGTACATCCATAATCCACTACGGAAAAATGATAAATAATAGTTGCAAAACAACATTAAATTATAAGATCAGAAAGGTCAAATTTGTCGAAAATTTCCTTCGCAAATTACAAGTGGACACATAACAAGGTGAGGAAGAACACATGAGGAATCGCCAATGTTTTACTTATATGAAATTCAAAAATATGTTTGACACAGGATTCAGTGACTATCAATAAGGCGAAAAAAAATTTAGAAAATTTACGAATTTACAGAATGTACCGAAAAGAATAGACACCTAAATTTTGAAACAAGGAAACTGAAATCATTACTTGTTTCATTACTTGAAGAAACACGTGTGAAACAAAGATAGCTAAGAAACTGAACGCTGACTTTACTGTACTGATCACTAAGGTGGGTTTTAAATGATGTCATCGAAAATATCTCATTCACTGTTACAATCGAAATTTTCATTAATCAAGATAGTGATTGATGTCTATGTATGCCAGTACTGATTATGAATTACTTCTTATTGAGGTTAGTTAGCCAAAATAACTATACGATAGCTTAAAGGCCGCTGCTTGGAGTTCAGCAGTGATAAAAGTCTTAAGGATTAAACAAGTGCAACCTGAAATGAATAAACCTGTTTACTGAGCATATATTTCCAGATTTGGCCATAATAGTGGCTAAATATACATCCACAAAGTTTTTCCGTTTATTTTTAAGGATGTTATCTGAACACAAATTTTTTTACTCTACACATTATGAACTGTCAACCGTTTGAAACCTTACTTCATAACTGGTTTTGATAATGTCGAGAAATGTATTGCGCGTAACTACTAGCACCTACTGGAAAGTAGTATAATTAAGACAATACGTTGTAATATATATATATATATATATATTATATAGTCTCGATTCAGCATTTCCCATGCAGTCTTTCAAAGTGACAGACAAAATGAAGTTACATTACTAGTGAATTATTTATAGATGTAGTATGAAAAGGATGATCACACTAAACTTCACCTGATGGTTAGTTTTCTTCGATGAAATAAACGCAATGTAACCGAGTAGTGGTTAGATGGCGAGAAGACTGTATTTCTAAATGATCAGGTTAAAAATTTCATTCTTTGTAGACAACAAACTTCCGCTTTTCCACAAAAATATACAATTCTAATAAGTAATTTTAAAATATTCTTCACCTTGTTATACACAAGGATGACACAAATGTTCGAGAAGTTCCGTTTTCATCAGAAATAAAAGTGTGGAAGACCTTTGAAGATCAAGATAAATATAACCGACAAAACAGTGTAGAACATAGCGCTAAACTGCAATGGTTCAAGTACTCAAACTGTGCAGGCGCTTGCAAATAAAAAGTGAAAGAAAGCCAAATTAGAATTAAATAAGTTAAAAGCGTATGAGAGGGAAGATAATGGATCAGGGAAGTCTATCCAAGTGTTCAGAAACTCATGCAAAGTGAATAGTGAGGATAAAACTAAGTAATGGCTAGTGTTGCAATTCATTGAGTTAGGTAGGTGTATTCAGAATGCATTGGCTACGTAATTAATACAACCGAAAACGCAGTTGGTTTATTGTAGTTAAATGAAGAAACCTGAGCGATCAACTACGGTTTAAATGCGTACACTGATATTCTATCTCTGCCTAAATTTTGCTATTCTACTTTGACATTTATCTTCATCTTACTGGATTCTGAGGAGTCTTTACTGATAAAATCAAAATCTCATTTACCTAAAAAAGCTAATTCTGATTAAAGAATAAACTATTACTTTTCATACTTATCGGTCGCTTATCCATTAAAAGTAATGCCTCTAAATTATCTATGATGCACAATCTATCCTAAAAGTCAATGATGTGAATTCTATCACCAGCATGTATTTCAATTTAGTTTCCATTTGTGTGAGTCACAGCGTGTTCGAAAGGAAATAACTCTAACATTTCGCATGAAAATCTCGTCCAAGCTTCTACAGGGAAACAATCAGAATTAACATATCAAAGATATATAAATGAATCCAAAGGCGTGTACTTAATCTTTGCCCAATCTTCTTAGAAGGACAATGACTATACAAAGATGTATGGGCAGCGAGACTAAATACACATCTTTGGATTCATTTATATATCTCTGATATTTTAGTTTTGATTATTTCCCCGAAGAAACTTGGACCAGATTTCCATGCGGAACGTTAGAATTATTTCATTTCAAACATGCTGTGACTCATACAAATACAAACTATATCTGATGTCAACGTTTTACTCAGCGCCTAATATTTGCAATATTATTTGGTCAAATCTTGATCATAGTTTGTATAGAGGTTAAGTAAACATAAAAATCACTCAGCGAAGAAAATTTTCCTTTTGACGAATCACTTTCAGCAGTTGTCGAATCGTTCACAAAATAATATACAACCATATGTAATAGTTTGTTGACTGACTTGAAAGATGTATCACTCCATTCTATATATGTAATACTCTATGCTATAGTAAGCGTATGAATTCTATACCGTATAACTCTTGTTTACTTAAAACTGTTCACTTAACTTACCCTCTGATGTTGATGTACATTGTACATTTTTCCAACTAATATGGCCTCATTGTTCATCATGTAACTGACGTTTCAGTATATATACGTTTATAGATAATTGTTGCGCTCAGTATTAAGTTAATAATATATATATTTATTTATATATTTGTTTGTGTATATGTTCATATAAATGTGATAAAAACGATGTTAACCCACATATCTTGGTGACTAGAAGTGGAACGCAAAATCCACTTTTCGTCCTAGTTGAGGCTCGTCAACCGGATGTGTCTGCACCCCAGTGAGTGATGTTTCCCCCTGAGACTCGAACCCAGTGTCCATCGCTTCAAACCCAGCAGGGTTATGCATTGGGGAACAAGAGCTACCTCTTGTGAAACGAATATCAGTAGTTGTTTGATGTTTGTAATTTCCTGTTACTATACATAGCCGAATTGTTCGACCTCTGTTGGCAGGTGGGCTGCTATGTAGATGTCTCGATACTGCTAAATATTCATCATGTTATCCATGATGTTTATCCACCATGGCAAAATTTTGTTGAACATTAGTCGTGCTCTACACAGTCATAAAAATCAGCTACCTCATTAAAAATGACTTTAGGAATTTTAAGGATCGAAAACTTGATGACTCATATGGGCGACACCGGTTTTCAGTCATTCAAATCTCTTGAAAAGCTCTAGATGACTCTTTTTCCGTAAAAGTTCCATGAGGTCCAGTGGACATTATTCATAATTTTGTGAATTTAAACTGATGCTATGTCCATTTCACATTTTTCAGAATACTTTCGTCTTAAAAATTCAAAATTGCAGATTTTAAGCTTCAGATAAGACCAGTATTTAGCGTCAACTGCATTGAATATGACGAAATTCACAGTTTCTCTTTTGATTAAATTTATTCAAGAGAGAGTCAGTTGACACATTTTGCTAAGGATATGACCTGCACAAGGTATTAAATGAATACTCGTACATAAATCTAGTCTGAAGATATTTTTGTGGTCCGATTTGAGGATGTATGATAATGAACAAATGTAAAAGTTAACAGAAGTATGCTTATTTTCAGGCTTAATAAATTTAATGAAGTAACTTTCAAAGCATTCCTGATTAGTTGAAGATAAAGTGAATAAATTCCCAACTATCTGCTTGTGGAGAGAAGGGAATGAGAAAAACTCCTCCATAAGTTACTGCCTCCACCTGATACTTAATGAAATCATAAGATTGTATGCATAAGGACAATGATATGACTAGCACAGAAGTACGCATTCATTAAATCTATTAAAACAGTAGATTAAAGACAAATCTAGTCTTTAGTTTACTGTCTCAGATACTTTGCAACCCATTATGTGATTCGCGAATTATTTTTGGTGAACTTACAACATAGACAACATTGCTCACAGAGTTGTTTTGATTGGTTGTCAGCATTTCGTGAAAATAAGAATTGTGAGTTGACTTTTTGGTTAACTACTTGTTTTCGATTTTAAATAATGAGATAATGACGCCCATATACAAAAGCCTTTTCTAGGAAGTAATTCTCCTACGATATTGAAACTTATTGTCTTGCTGTTTGTAGCTTATCTGATCTGTTGAAGAATGGATCCTGCTAAGATAAGTTGTTTGATGAGCTTTGGTAATTTTCAAAAAAATTGGTAAACATGTAAAGAAGGATCATTTTAAGAGAACAAGAAACCTAATAGACGTTACCATGAATAAGAACGAGAAATCCACGGCTGGTCTGATACACCGGATGACGCCATCTCAGGTTAATTTAGTGCGTGAAAACCAACAACTCCAAGAGAATTTAGGGTAGTATAAAGGTTCATAAAGTAGGATATCCTATGAGACCATTATCTGACTTTAGGAATCTTCCAAAATATGAACTGTCCAAGTATTAAGCATGGATAGTATATCCTACTGGAAACCGTTCAGATTTCGGACTAATCAGTTCACACAAATGGACACTACTTCTCAATGACGTGCACATACAAGTGGATGAAGAAAATGATTACTTTTAATATAAGAAACCTTAATATTAAGGTGCTAATCAATGTAGCACTTGAGATGTTTAGAAATAAAATAAGTATTGACTTGAAATTCACCATTAGGATTAAGGTACCGGTTAGAGAAATCATATTATGTTTACAGTTATATCTGATTTCCACGGTCTTCAAACTGCAAGACAAAATATTCAGAGCAATATCCCCAATCTTCACAAACAGAATTATGAATAATTGAGAAAACACTGCTTTAAGGATATTTAATTATACTCTTAAGTTGTGGTGTCATATGTAGATGATACTTGTTAGGTTGAAATCGGAACATATCAATTGTTTTGTAAGCATTTCAATACTATCTTTCATTTATTTTAAGGTATACTCGTCATGTCCCAGAGTTTGCGTTGGGTGGTCAAATGAATAACCCAGAAGTAAAAATAACTAGCCGGGATTTACAGTTTCATTTACCTCTAGAAAAAGCTGGAAAAGGCGGTTATCACGCAGTAAGTTATTCTTATATTGAAAAATCATGGAGGTCAGGAGTTTGCGTTGCTTTCTCTGAGACGAGTCATTTAGTCGTACATTTTTTAATTTATTTCTAGAAAATATCAGCTGTTGATGTTTTCTAGAAGTAATCAATCACTGGTCCTATGCAAAATGCCAAAATCAGTTTTGTAACAAAATAATTTCATCAATCTTTTCATAATGTTACAAATCGGACTACATATCGTTTCCTTTGTGATGGTTCCAGGCTCTGTGTTTTGATTAACTTCAAGTTGATGACAGCTGAAAAGTCACCTTAAGTAAGCTAAAGAAGCACTTATTGTTTCACAGTCGGTACCCGTTCTAAACAATAAGGGATCAATTTCTTTACCATCTAAGAGTAAAGTTACTTTACATCAATCAAGTCACAAACTATAATCCTTTCTATCTACCCACCTAGAATGTTCCATAAGATGTTTATCAACCACCTAGAGTGCTCACAAGTAGTTGCTTTTTAACTATTCTTGTGGGCTTTATTTGCTTTACTTACCTTAAGAAGTAAAATCTGTATGAAAGGAGTGGTAAGACATATTTATACCTCTCCTGAGTTCAGAATTAGATTGAAAAGTAAAGCCTAAGTAAAAATGAAGGAAAGAAATTTAATTTCAAAATAATATTACCAGTGTTTTCATGTACTAATAAAGTGTAACGTAAAAGTGGATAGCTTCCTGAGATAAGACTCATTTTAACACCTAAAAGCTAAATAAGTGGAAGGATGAAAACTGACGAAGCATAGAATTGTTATTATTTGTCCCTTGAGTTCCTAGTGGAACATAGGAATTCAGTAGAACGTATACATTAAACTCTCTCCTCTGCACTCTTTTCAAACTCGTTACACGATCACCCACTAACTCTCATTTCTTCCTCACTCACATCATCTCCTCCATATCACTCTCACCTCAGATGACCAACTCGTCGTTTCCCCTTCGGATTCCACTCGACGGCCTGACCTAGCACGTGATGTCTCCGAATGATCTTCTCAGTGTATGCCCAATACAATCCATCTCCACTTTCTTCTGGATATTTCTTGGACATAGCATATACTCTTTTTTATCCCTCGAAAATGTGGTTTGTGTTAATATTCATTGAAAGTTTACAGTGTACATTCCCCACTGAATGATAAGATAGTAGGATGAAGTCCTGAATAAAACTACTTAGAAACAACACAACATGAATGTAAATGAAGAAAAATACTAGTCTAGTTCAGCAACACTGACGTTCTGCTTGTTTATTGTCTACGTGCCTCATGCAACTAGTTAGTTTAAAACATATTATTCGCCATACAAAAAATATGGTCAATTTATTTGATCATAACTGGTAGGATTTCTCTTAAAAAAGCATAAGAAATTTCTACCTCTAAAGTGTCTAGGATTTGTAAGCTGGATCTCATTGAATTCATAATAAGTTGCACGTGAACGGTAAATAAATCTACTTATTTGATCTGTCTACTATCTTTGTTAAATCAGTCTATGTTTACCCATTTTTTCACTGAAGATGAACTTACAGAATGATATTTTGTCGACAAACAAAAATTCATTCACTGAAGAATCAAGTGGTATCCGTCCACAATTTCTGCTCACTGATCTCGACATACCTCAGATGGAGCCCCATTATTATGAACCAGGTCCACCAAAATTATCTGCTGAATTTGACAGTAGACAAGAAAATAGTGACATGAATGCTTTATCTGATCACGTTGTAGTTCAGGGATGTTCTATGGATGATGAAGATTGCGAGTTACATTTTGCTGACAGCTACATTGACGAAAATGAAAGCGATGAAAATAACAGACTGGTTGATACTCACACTTCCCTTGCCGGATCCTTAGATTCAAAACAATTTCTTACAGGTATTTGTAAAATTTGAAAAAATAATAATCATAAAATACTTTTACAGACTGCTGAACTTATAAAAGGCAGTCAGAATATTTCTGAATATTTTGTATTATATGCAAACTAGGAGTATTTTTCATTTGGTTTTACGAAGTATTCAACTGAATTGAATATGAAGTGGTTAAGGTGTAAACAGAATTAGTTTTCACTAGTTTTCCCGCAATTAGTGGAACATAAATGCCAAATGTCTATTGAAATTAAATTTCGTAATGTATCCCTAGTGAAATACATGTTTGCGATCTTTCTGTTTTGCTTCCCTCCCATCAGTGCGATATTTTCCGTTTTTAAATCAATATCCGTTTGGTTTCGTAGTTTGATGAGTAAAATCAGTACATACTTAAATGAAGCAATACCTTACGAATTCCATTATTCGAAATAAAACAACAGAACTGCTAACAGACTTTATAGAAGGCGTAAACTATCATCTGCTTCAACATGGATCAATGTTTGTAACTCTTTATCTCCATGCATTTTACTTCGAGACGGTAGTTGATGCATTAGGATGTAAATACAATCATGTAAAAATTGCTTGACCCTACGAAAATAGAAATAATTCACGTTTTGCTCCCAGGATAGAAGAAAAACCATATATCGAAGTAGCAAATGGACGTAATACCAATTAACATCAATCTATTCGATATCGCACACAATGAAATAATCATTAAGTAATATTATTATTAAAATTATTGTTACCACTATTGTTAATATTGAGCATCAAAGACCATCTATCACCCATATTCATATTAAAATAGCTACTCAAATTCATGTCTTAGACATCTATAGTTCTACTGCTTTTCATTCTTCGACTTCATTAATTGGAGGTTATTCCGCATGTGTGGAATCAATGTTAAATCATTCCAGTCACATGTATCAGGTGTTGAGTGAATAAACAGAGATTCAGTGATCAACTTCTCTCCCCACTTGACTATGCTGATCTTTAGGAATGTAACTCTGTCCAACAATGTCGTGTGGTTGTGCATTATCAATTGCATAGCTGTGACTGAACTCTTCTGTGTAATATACATCCTGAAAAGGATTGTCACAAAACCAGACTAAGCAGGGTTCACATGATGTGCGAACCTGATGGACGTTGATCACCAAATCTCATCCAAACGTATTGGCACAATATTTCTTAAATTACCTAATTTCGTTAATTTCGACCACTTAATAAATTGATTTTTCCTTGTATATCTGGTGGAACAGAGGAATTCAGTATAACGTATACATTAAACTCTCTCCTCTGCACTCTTTTCAAACTCGTTACACGATCACCCACTAACTCTCATTTCTTCTTCACTCACATCATCTCCTCCATATCACTCTCACCTCAGATGACCAACTCGTCGTTTCCCCTTCGGATTCCACTCGACGGCCTGACCTAGCACGTGATGTCTCCGAATGATCTTCTCAGTGTATGCCCAATACAATCCATCTCCACTTTCCTCTGCAAATCTGTTGGGAGATAGGTTGTTGGTTGTTTCGTCGCCAGCCAGCCAGCCAGCCAGCCAGCCAGCCAGCCAGCCAGCCAGCCAGCCAGCCAGCCAGCCAGCCAGCCAGCCAGCCAGCCAGCCAGCCAGCCAGCCAGCCAGCCAGCCAGCCAGCCAGCCAGCCAGCCAGCCAGAGTTCCTTGTTGCCTATTTTTATTATTCTAGCCATCCATCTGATCTTCAGTATCGAGTGAGTGTAGGTGGCAGCTGTTGATGATGTATGTCTGTAGTTTGTTAGAAAGACTTTGCGTGACGCGCCAAGTTTCTCAACCATCACAAAGAAGCATTGACTTGACTGACTTAGTGTTGAAAATCTGGATCTTGTTCATGCTTTATCCTGAGTGTAGTTGAGTGGGGTTGACTGGAGTTGAGTGGATTGGAGCAGAGTGGAGTGGAGTGGAGTAGAGTGCAGTGCAGTGCAGTGCAGTGTAGTTTATCTCCATACTGATTTCAGGTTAATGAAAGCCTGTCTGGCTTCTCCGATCCTGGCTGGCTTTGACATCCTCATCTGTGCCACTGCCACCTGTAGTTGAAACGATGCTGCCTAGGCAGGTAGGTGTGTGTGTGTGAGAGAGAGAGAGACTACTTCCTGTAGATTTCTCCTGTTCATCGTGATTGGTGAATGTGACTGTAGTTGTTGTCGATGTTGATGTCCTTGTTGTTGGTTGGGCATCTTCATCACCTCCGTCTTCTCTACATTCACTTCAAGGATGTCCCATCTTCACTGTCTCGCCTCTTCTGTCAACTTGTGAGCTTCCGCCTGTAGATCTTTCAGTTCTTGCCACAAGACACTGGACATAAATCATCATCGGCAGTGAAATCCAATTCTTCTTCGGGTATCTTTCCATCTGTCTTGCCAGCGTATACCCATCTTCTCACAGCTCCTCACGGTTCGTTGCATGATCCACTCCAGTCCAGCCCAGTCCAGTGCAGTACAGTACAGTACAGTAGAGTACAGTACAGAACAGTGCAGTCGAATCGACCACAACAATCAAGAAGATGATGGGTGATAGTAGGCGACACACTTGTCTTAATTCTCTCTGTCTTCACTTCAAACGTGTCACTGAGCTTTCCATTGTGAATCACTTGGCACGTGGAGTCTTCAGATAGCTGTTGAATGAGGTTGATAAAGGTTCGTGGCACTAAGCTCGTAGTGTTGTAGCAGCTGCCTGACAGATTACTTGTCGGTCGAGGCTGTCGAAGCAAGGTCTTTTCAAAGTCGATGAAGTTGAGGTAGACAGTTGAGTTAACTGCCATTCTATACTCTGTTCCATGGTAATGCGTAGCGTAGCGTTGCGATTCGATCCCCAAATGATTTGCTTGTCCTGAAGCCAGCCAGTCAGCCAGCCAGCCAGCTGGGCTACCTGTTCCCGTGGTAACCTTGAATCCAGCGCATCTTTTCATCTCTCCAGGATGATGCCCCCTTATGTTTCGCTTCCTTTCTTTGGACAGATGTCTAGCATGTTTCCTTGTCAGTTCCTGAAAAGACTTAAGTCACCCATCTTCGGGATTTTGACGAGGTTACCCTTCTTCTAATCAATCAGAGGGTACATTACCTTCCTTCATTGCAAACCTTCAGCATTAGTGGTGTCAGCATGTCCGCTGCTGATATCTCTGCGTTTGTTTTTAGTGCTTCTGAAGGAGTTACATCTAGTCCTGCTGCTTTCTCAGATTTCAGCAGCTTTACGGCGTTCCGGTCTTCACTTCAGCTTTTGTCGGAGGCTTGTGTTCACTGGCAGTTCTGAGATTACTGGAGGTATTTCTGGACAAGGTGCAGTTGGCTGTTGTTGTTGTTGTTGTGTTTGTGGTGGTCGATTCGGGAGTGTTTTCAATTGGTCAGCCCATCGTTTCCTCTGTTCCTCCTCTCTCTCTCTCTCTCTCTCTCTCTCTTTTGTAACTAGGTTTCCTTCACTATCTTTAATTGGTTTCATCTGAGTTGATCTCTTCCCTGCAGGAGAGTAACCTGCTTATTTGATACAATGTTGTCAGGTCTCTGTCTCTCCTAACTGCAGCCTGATCTGCTTCGCTTGCCAGTATGTCGTAGAAGTGTCTTTTGTCTTTCCAAGCACTATTCTTCACTTCTTTGTCCAGTGTAGTATTCTATAGGTTGTGTTCACTCCCTCTTTTCCTTGTTCATCCCCGCACTACCCTGCCCATTTTCATCTTCTGCTTCACCATCACCATCACCATCACCATCTTCCTATCCCTCCTCTATCAGCTTCCATGTGTCCGTCGAAATCCATTCCTTGTCTTGTCTTGTCTTGTCTCGCCTCTTCTTCTCCATCCATAACACGATTATGCGGGCTCCTCTCCACACAGCTTTCAAAGAGTTCCAGTGTTCTTGCACGCAGCTTCACTCAGGGATGTTGCTCAATGTCTCCATTTTGTCCTGATGGCCGACTGACGTGGAGATATCCTTTGAAGTTTCGTCCTCCAGTTCAGTTTCTGTTCTGGGTGGGTGTTGAACTTGAACTGTGGCCGTCTGTCATCAGCTTCTTTGATATTGGCTTTCAACTTGATTTGGGAGGTGGGTTCATTGCACTAGATAGTGAGTGAGTGGTGTGAACCTACATCTGCTCCTCTTTTCGATCTAATCTTATGTCCAGTAGGCTGGCTGGCTGGCTGGCTGGCTTGCTGTGTCTCCACTTTCTTTACATTGAGATGAAGTCGATCTGCTTTTCTTACTTTCACTTTCATTGAGAGAAGAGAGGACACATCGACCAGTTGACTTCCCGAAGGCTTTCACCAAACCGGGGTTATTTCGTCTCTCTGATTCTAGTGAGGAATAAGCTTATTTTCATATTTTATATTTTCTTTGTGCTTTGAAGTTTCTTTTGAGGTTGGATTGATTTTGCGGCGTAGGGATTGCTAGCCCTATTCCCAACCTTCTCTCTGTATCCGTGCTTAGGACCGACTAGTGACTAGTGAACTAGCGAACCATGTTATGTTGTTTCGACCTCAAATAGGCAAAGTTTACCTTTGAATTAATTTATAGTTCTGAATTCCAACTTAATCCTAGCCTTATTAGGAATCTGATGTAGGCTCTGTAATTTCAATCTCTTATATTCCAACAGTGAGGAGGCATCTTATTCCTTCTTGCTCATGTTGAAGTCGTCGCCAACTTTACCCCTTTTCCCTTTTTCTGTGATTCTAGGCATTTTTCTTTAAGATTAGGATGGTTGTTATCGAAAAATGAAGCTTCTCTTATGTGTTTCTTTCTTTGGCTTAGAATTTCTAACTTACTGTATAGACTTTCAGCTTATTTAATTAATTTTTGAACTAAATGCAATTGTAACGCTTCAGTGACTTGAATTCAATACGTACAACTGAATAGGTCCATAAGAAGGGATCAAGAAACCTAAAGACACTGTTGTGAGTAAAATCAAGTGGTGCACAGCTGATGTAGTACACTAAATCAATTCTTCTTCGAATAGGTTTAAATGGCTTACATCATTGCTTAAAGCTATTGATTTTAGTAAAATTCACGGTACTGACAAATTTATTAGGGACCTTATCGCATGGTAGTGTACTGGTGGTGTACTTTAGCAGTACTCTACCTTACGAACTTTCAAATCCAATTTACCAATTAATATAGCTCTAGAAGCTTTCATAAATCAACTGCACAATGATCCTGAGATTCCTAATACAACTAGGATATTGACTGAAGACGTCACGTTTTAGCATTCACTTGTGCTTTAATTCCACTGATTTCAGATTTTCAGATAATATATATCAGCGAGTACAAAGATAAGCAATAGGATCATTATTATTTCCATCCATGGCAAATAATTTTATGGGAATTTGAGAATCATTGGCTCTTTAAACATTTAATTTGACCCTGGCAGTAATGGTAACGATATGTATGTGATACAATACCTGTATTGGAATCCTAAAATGACCACATACATAAACTTTGTAGTAAAAATTAGATTCAAAATGCTCTTCAGTTTAAAGATAAGAAATGAAAATCAGCTATGCTAAACTGGAAATTAAAAAGAAGGCTGGATGGTGGTTTCAACATAAGTGTCCACATAAAATAGTTGGATCATAATGGATATCTAAACACTAAGTCATCTCACTCCACATCACTAAACGTGGTTTTATTTAAATGTTTCAGTAGTCGAGTTAGCAAGTAAAAAATGACTGTGCTGTCAAGTTGATGGGCCAAACTAGCCGATTGGCGTCCATCAGGTTCGCACATCATGTGAACCCTGCTTAGTCTGGTTTTGTGACAATCCTTTTCAGGATGTATATTACACAGAAGAGTTCAGTCACAGCTATGCAATTGATAATGCACAACCACACGACATTGTTGGACAGAGTTACATTCCTAAAGATCAGCATAGTCAAGTGGGGAGAGAAGTTGATCACTGAATCTCTGTTTATTCACTCAACACCTGATACATGTGACTGGAATGATTTAACATTGATTCCACACATGCGGAATAACCTCCAATTAATGAAGTCGAAGAATGAAAAGCAGTAGAACTATAGATGTCTAAGACATGAATTTGAGTAGCTATTTTAATATGAATATGGGTGATAGATGGTTTTTGAAACTTAAATAGTAATGATAAATGATACTGTCACTCTGTTATATCATTGAGACAAAATAACAACACCGTATATGTAAATTCTATCCGTATATGAGTGAAGAAGTAATTCCAACAACTGGTGTGATCCCGGGTAGTAATCTTGCTAGAAACGGAATAAATCATCAAGCTAAGTGAATCCAGAATGACTTAAGTAAAAATCGGAATAAAGTAATAAAAGCTTGTGAATCTAGACTGGTCTACCAAACGTTTTTCCAATGCACGAGTTTGATCAGTTGTTCTCAAGAGCTACCCATTCCACATCTTCATGAAGTCCTAAAGAGAGTCCCAACAATGAATGTTTGGGGTCGTCTGATTTATATTTTTTTAATTTTAAAGCAGTATTATTACTGGCAACCTGCCTGTAAGTTAGGAAGGGTTACCACTTCTGCTTGGTTTGTAAATTGGTTTAAACCACATTTTAAAATGGCATTCTGAAAATTATTTTTAGTTTGAATTGGTAACAGAAAAACCACTCATTATGCCTCTATGTCTCTCTCTTTAACTACTTTTACAGTATTTTTTTAAAAGCAGACTGACTACTTCAATTTTTGATGAGCTGAATACCTTATAAGCTGAGAAATATATCATTCCCATTAACTAATATCCTAATAATGAGAGGTCATTCATACTTTCTGGCAATTAAATTATAAGTTTTATAAAACATTTTTTGAATCTGAGTGTCTTTTTTTGCGAAAACTGGTTACAACTGTTATTTATTTAGATGATTTTGGGGAATAAATTAATTCCTTTTCAGAAGGCCGATCAAGTGAAAATGAAATAAAGGAGACTGTGACATCATATGTACCTGTGAAATCAAGGCAATCACATTCCGAATTACTCAACTTTTCAGTACCTCATGGAGAAATAGTTCTATCAGTAAAATAACTTCGAACCTCATGTTACTTGTTTGCCCGTTGGTGCTTAATTTTGCCAATTTGTATGCATAGTTTCATTTCAGTCGCAAACCTGAACTCCTGTGCCAGTATATTATCTCCATATCTCTGTTTTATTCCCAGCATAATCTTTCCTTCCTATAACAAAAATGGTTACGTGTATAAAATCTACTTGACTGTTATTTTTTATCTAGACTTTCTTTTTATTACCTACTGATGAGGATCTACACATACATGATATGTGTTCATTGTAATTTCTTACCATGAAACCAACATTTTCAAAAAATTTATAGTTCTAATGTGTTTCGCCCTTTTTTCGATATCAAGCCAAACAGTAATTTGGCTTTCATTTCTGTGGTAAAATTGGTATTACTTATCTCACTTAGTACTTTCTAATCTTTTCACAATCTTTTGATCTGAATAGACCTTTGGACCACGTAATTCTTGTCATAGTGGTATGATCAAAATTTCTTTTTTAAATGTCTTGTAGATAATTTATCTTGTAAGCTGCATCACTTTAAATATTCAGCTTGTATCTTGCAGACGTGATCATGCTAAAGACATAGTAAATAAACAGTTTAGTTGAGCTTACACTTAAATCATAGGGAAAATATGCCTTCACCATGCGCTCTCGGGACACGTTAGACATTAGGTGAAAACTATTGGGATTTTATATCTAGGATGTAGCCTATTCGAAATTGTTGAATCCGCACTACTCGGTTAACAGATTTTCACTACGAATGTCAAACCTCATAAAAATAAAGTGGTGGCTGTCATGACTGCAGTGGATGACGTTCAAGTATTTTATAAAATTAGTACTAGATTCAATTCTATCTGATGATATCAGTGATTAATGGGATGCAGGCAAATTTGAGAAATAAGTCAAAGATAGGATAGAACGCATATCTTACATTCCAATGCCAATCGTCACCTCTTTTTTTATCTATGCAAACATATTTTTCAATAAAGTAAGTATCATGATTACAGCAGAGTTATACGAATACTTGCTATCTAAGGGATTTTCATCAGCCATTTACAACTTCAAACAAATTTAATAACTAAAAAATTAGTATACACTAAATGACCAAGAAATTGAAGGAAATACAAATTAAAACAAAAATAAGTCGGACTTAGAAAACTGAGTGGTTGCTAGAAGGCGTCATCAAAAGTTTGTCTATACAAGACATGAATGGATGAATATTTAAAAGCGAAAAAATTTATAAGATAAACAGCAATACAGTTTTGAAAAATTTGAAAAAAATGTCATGGCTTACAAAAGAAGTTAACACTGACTACGTTGGTTAAAATAGAAAGGGAGAAGTAAGCGTCAGGTAGAAAATGGATAAATAAAGTGACGGTATTATGTCAAGAAATATAAAAGAGATAATAAGAGAGATAATCTTTTTTTGAACGCCGAAAATTTGTTTCAGTTATTTAATAGCAATTTTCGGAACATAACGTAGTTAATTAAAGTTTATCGGCGCTTTATTCCTGTCAAACAATTTTAGAGCACTAACGTCATAACTGTCATCACGCATCTGATAAGTGATGGCATGGGAGAAGTATACAGTTTTCAAAATTAGCTGTGAAATACAATCAAGTACTATTCTCCTCGCTTTTTGATGTTTGTTTACTGGCAGACGAACGTGAAATGTTAAAGGTCCTTTGAAGTAATACAATAAATGGACCTTTCTAGAAAGTTTTCTCCAAAAAACATGCAAATTTGATGATGAGATGCCATCCAAGTTGAAGGATACTAAATTGGTCAATTAAAAATCAAACTTTTCAGTTTGGATGATTCTACTCCATTTCCTTTTTACCAATGAATCATCGCATTCGCATAACATTATTTTCACCCACATGTATAGTGTTATGAATAGAGCCTGCATGAAAACAAGTCTAAATTGTGAAGAGGAATGCACACTCAGTGAAAACTACGTTAAATTCCTCACTAAAATAAAATAATCTCGGTTCTTACCTTCTCACATATTAGCATCCAGTGTGGAACTGAAACACCTGAAAACTCATAAATGCATGTAGACCGCTATGAAATAGACTTGAGTAGTGAATTCACTATCCTTCCTTTCCATCATAAAAATTATTGATAAGTTGGCAGTAAATTTAAAGGCTGAAGGCAGAGTGCTGCATAAAATGAAGGCACAACCACTTTTAAAGGCCGTCGAGATTAAAATGCTCTCAGATAGAATGTAGTTGTTGGCATACATTAAAATAGCATTTTCATATGAAGCCTCATTTTGTTATAAGAAGGAAAATCTTTAAATTTTTCTCACAAAGCTTAAGTATTCTTTAAGGATCACAGCAAAAGCAAAGACACCATCAAGTAAATTGAATTCATGAAAATAATTGATTTAAAACATGCTATGGAACATGATGGAGGATTAAAGGTCCTGATTCTGCTCACTCTAAACTTACTAAGAAAACTAGTGGAAATTTTGTTTCAGAGAAAAGTGCCTTACATGGTTGCTCAGTCAACAAAGAATTTCGTATGAGGTGAAACTTACTTATAGTCTCCTTCTTTATTTCTTTTGGGAAGGACTTGACTGGATAGCTATAATAGAAAACATCAATTTACTATCGCTTTCTGTAAGAGGTGAGTTGCTGCCCACAGTATAATCGGTGAAACATCATATCTCAGTAAAAGTTTCCTCCTAGCCATTTGAAATTTGAATAGCATGTAGTTATCCTTAAAACAGAATGTAATTTTGGAAAGTTGCATCAGAATAGAATTCAGTAAATATTAAACAACTCACAAGTATATATTTGAGCTTTTCGGTAGTCTTGCATCGTCAATAACCTGATCCAAAACTGGCTGTATGCGAAATGTCGCAGTTTGACCTGGTATTTATTATTACCAGTATTCCTTGTGTACCTAATAGAAACTGAAAATTCAGTAGAACTTATCCATTAAACTCTCTCCTCTGCACTCATTTCAACCTCGCTACACGATCACCCACTAACTCTGCATAAATAATGAAGTGCATTCTAATTCAGAAGGTCAAAAGGTTCGTAGGCAAATCAGCTGGTTATCGATTGTGAAACCTTAATCTTTTATCGTTACCTCATCAATCATTACCAAGAATCACCAACTGAAGACCTGGAAATGCATCAAATATATATATATATATCACCGACTTAGTTTTCCTTCAGCTTTCCTGCACTTTTACTTGGAAACTTCTACATTTCTGTATTCCGAACCACAAGTACTCAAAACAATGAAACATTCAGCGTGTCAGTCAGCAGACTGAAAAAAATTGTACATCCACACTAAATTTGATAATGTAGAGAACAACCTACTTCAAATGAGCACAGATTTCAGAATCGCGAAATTTCAATTTATTAAAATATCGACATTATCACCGACCATCCTATGCAAAAAAACAAGTTCCACTTATACATCATGGAGTTGAATATAATTCATAATTTCCACTGAGTACATAGTGGAACAGAGGAATTCAGTAGAACGTATACATTAAACTCTCTCCTCTGCACTCTTTTCAAACTCGTTACACGATCACCCACTAACTCTCATTTCTTCCTCACTCACATCATCTCCTCCATATCACTCTCACCTCAGATGACCAACTCGTCGTTTCCCCTTCGGATTCCACTCGACAGCCTGACCTAGCACGTAATGTCCCCGAATGATCTTCTCAGTGTATGCCCAACACAATCCATCTCCACTTTCCTCTGCATATCTGTTGGGAGATAGGTTGTTGGTTGTTTCGTCGCAGCCAGACAGCCAGACAGCCAGACAGCCAGAGTTCCTTGTTACTTATTTTTATTATTCTAGCCATCCATCTGATCTTCAGTATCGAGTGAGTGTAGGTGGCAGCTGTTTGATGATGTATGTCTGTAGTTTGTTAGAAAGACTTTCGTGACGCGCCAAGTTTTCTCAACCATCACAAAGAAGCATTGACTTTGACTGACTTAGTGTTGAAAATCTGGATCTTGTTCATGCTTTATCCTGAGTGTAGTTCAGTTGAGTTGAGTTGAGTTGAGTGGAGTTGAGTTGAGTTGAGTGGATTGGGGTGGTTGGAGTGGAGTGGAGTGGAGTGGAGTGCAGTGCAGTGTCGTCGTCAGCATCTTTTATTAGTTTCATGTGTGTTGATCTCTTCCGCCAAGAGAGTAAACTGGTATTTGATCACAACGTTGTCAGTTCTCTGTCTCTCTTACCTGCAGCTGTTCTGCTTCACTTGCCAGTGTTTCATGGAAGTGTCTTTTGTCTTTCCACGCACTATTTTTCACTTCTTTGTCTGGCGTAGTGTTTTATACATTGTACTCAGTTCCTCTTCTCGTGCGCATCCTTGCACTGGTTCATCTTCTGCTTCACCATCATATCACCATCTTACTCTCCCTGCTTTATCAGCTTCCATGTGTCCATCGAGATCTATTCCTTATCTTCTTTCTTCTTCCTTCCTTATGCGGTTATGCAGGTTTCTTTCAACATAGCTTTCAAAGAGTTCCAGTGTTCATCCAAACAGGTTTCTTCAGGGATGTTGGTCGATATCTAACATTCTGTCCTGATGGCTGACGTGAAGATTTCCTTTGTAGTTTCGTCCTTCAGTTTCCGAGTGTTGTACTTGAACTGTGGTCTATCACCAGCTTCCTTGAAGGCTTTCAGCTTGGTTTTGAGGATGGGTTCCTTGCACTAGATATTGGCCTGAGCCTACATCTGCCCCTCTTCTTGACCTTGTGTCAAATAGGCTACGTCTCCACTTTCTTGAGATTGAGATAAAGTCGATCTGATTTTTACTGTAGTTTGTCCTGATGTCTGGTGAAATCCATGTCGCTGCTTTGTGGATATCCTTGTGCTTGAACACACTGCCTCCAATCACCAAATCATTGAATGCACAGAATTCTGCAAACAATTCTCCATTCTCGTTCATTTCACCTAGTGCTTCTCGACCCACGATTGGTTCTCTTCCTGTGTTGTTCACTCCCAGTTTGGCATTCATGTCACCCCATCCATTA